TCTCCTAATTTCAATTTTTCTTTAGTTTTTTGATTTTTCGAAACTTTTCTCAGTTCCTTTGTATATCGGGATCTGGCATCAAGTTCACTTTTAGTCTTTACTTATTTCTTGCCTGCTTTTTGAATTTAAAATGGTTCCTTCTTCATATGTTTTTTCCATTGTACAGTGCTTTAGGTTAATGTCCACTTGTTAAATTTCAAATCGCATATTTCCGGAAATAAAAAAATCACTGCATTTTCTAAAGCTCTCACCAAGCATTTAGAGTGTTTAGTAAAAGCACGCTAACAACTCGCTACATCAATAAAATTTCCAAATATTTTTGCAAGCTGAAAAAAATCCCGGACTGTTTCTGAGGTATTAAACGATTAAGTAGTAAACGATAGGGCAGGTGAGGTAGGGTGGGGGGCGGGGGAGAGGGGAGGAGAGGGGATGTGGGGCTGTTCTCGTTGATTCACGGAAAGGCGAAGTGAGGCTATGGAGCTTGTGGTGAGAGGGGTTGGCGATGCTTTAGCACTGCCGGCCCCGAATTTTGTGCAGTACTTCGTTCTCGAATTTACGGTAGAAGTTGTTTCTCTGATGACAGGTTATGGTAATTCCGCAGTTGCGCTTAACAAGAAATCAAGCAATTGCTCGGACTGTTGTTGCTGTGATTGGATTGGCGATTGGGGCGTATGGTGTTGCGACAGTCTATAAGCCGCTTCAGGTACCAGAGATTCGACTAAATTGATCTTTAATTTTGGAATACATGTCTTTCCTTGTGTTTTTTGGTAATATCGAAGAGATAGGAGAGGGGAGCGAGTTTTCATCCTTGCAAAGCGCTGGTTTCGAATCACACCAGCTGAGAGAAAGGAAGGAAGAAGAGGTGGTCTTTTTCTGTTTTGTATTTTTTATAGGTGCATGTTTTTCTAAAAAGTAATTTGCAGGGTTTTCAAGACGAATTGGATTTGCGTAAGGCCGAGCTGCTCGTCCACTACAAAGCAAAACACGATGAGCGGGTGCGAAAAGCCGCAGCTGCTCAACAGGGCCCAAAATAATCCAGAAGAGTCTTCATCACCTAGCACTACCAGTAATAGCGGTGCTGCTACTGCCGGCCCATACCGTGATGAATTACCCTTAACTTCCCTGATGAAGCAAATATTCAAATTTTATAAACGTCGTGACCGCGAGCCGGATTTATCGGATGTCCTGGATCTCAGGCGCTCCTCCGCAAATCAGGGGATCACATGCTCGAAATTTGTTCCGCAGGTGACGCCCTCCGATTTGACTCTGGAAAAGCTGGGCTTGCGTCCCGTCTCGCAATGGACAGCATCCACGGTGGCTCATCGCCCTGGCATGGTTATGTTGAACGACATTTTCGAGCCGTCCAATCATCTTCAGTGGATTGAACGTTCGTTGACCGTTTATCCTGAGCCACCTGGATTCACAAACGTTGGTCTTCACGTACCAAATGCACAAAATGTAAGTTCTTTAAATTCGTGGAGCAGTCGATTCAGCCGCCACTCATACTTGGTAACCAAACTCTTCGGCTGGCAACTTTTCCATTTGCTTTGACCAGTGCTACTTCGCTTAATGGTCAGTCTTTAGCAGTGCTGACGTGAGTCCGTTTGTAAATGGCTTACGAGCTTAGCATAGCTTTGGCCGATTCCGTAATGTCCTTGATCCGTGTAGTGCACCGTAGTCTCGCCTGAACGTTATCGCACTGTTAGACCACGATGTGCTGGTAACATATCACTGTAATAAATGCATTTAGTGAACATGTGTTGGAATTAATTGAATGTTAAATTACGCCAATAAATTTAAAAAAATTCGTTTTCTGCGAATATGCGAATTACGTCGCTTCTGCTGCGCTGCCTTT